CAGAGCTTTCAAACTTTAGAAGAGGAGCATCCTCATGCTGCTCCTGCTCCAAAATGCACCTTCAAAGAGAAGATTATGTGAAGAGGCTTATTACAATCCTTTTAACATTTCATTTTGAGGCTCAAGTATTTGTTTTTCCCGTGTCCAAACACTACCAAGCCAAACCAGGCTCATCAGAGGAGTGTCAGGAACACCCTCTACCACCAGCAGCTGCAGACAGGAATAAAGCTGCCTCTGAGGAAAGAGCTGGGCACAAACAAAGACGGCACAAAGGTGGAATCTCCTAAAGCTACAGGGATGGTTAGGCTGGAACACACCATTTAACTCAGGATGTCATCTGAAGGCCAGGGGCAAAACCTGGCTCTTAACATTGCGCTAAGCAGAGAGAGGCCCCTTGGAACACCCTTCCAGCCCCTGAGGGATCACATACAGGCTGTTGATTTCAATATGCCCACCTGAAGCCCATCAACTTGTCTAACACTTCATGAAGCCACTCACACTCTGGCCACTGCAGAGGCTGACAAAAGATGGAGCTCTCAAGATTTCCTACAGTAGTCATTCAGACAGGAGTTCATTCTTTGCCCTTTAATGTGTTTAGGAAAAGCTCACACAGAGCAGCTGAACTACAAACTAAGGAGGAAAAATTGCTTTTGTTTAGACTCTCTAGAAGGCAGGCAAGACTTTTAAAAAACAAGTAGCAAGAAATAGTCCTCTGTGATTTCAGACTGTGAAAATAAAGGGGCACACAGTGGAGCTTTGGTGAGGAGAAGTCCACAGCAAATGAAATACATTTCAGCAATAATAAAAAAATCAAACAAGCAGACTTTTAAATAAAATATGGAATAGCCTGGGCCCACCTCTAAGGAGGGTGAAGCACCTAGACCTTCCCTTGATCTCCCTGTATTGCCACTCTGAAAGTACAGAATCACGAGTCAAGGCCAGAAAGGCTCATAAGCAAGGAGGAAAGGCTCAAGGCATCCAGCTGTGCTCACTCAGGTCTGTATCTCCACTCTGTCTCTCACTCTCCCAGACATTTCACACCTCCACGAAAGCCCCAAACACCTGTGCTGAGCCCTGCACAGTCCTCACTGGAGATGGCTGCCCCACCATCCCTGCACCTAGTGGCTCCTGGGCAGACACAGCTCCTGCCCCATCCCATCACCCCCAGACAGTGCCGCGAGTGCAGCACAGCCCCACTGCACTAGTTCCCACGTCCCACAGGACTCCTCAGACACCCCCAGCCCCCGACTCATGTCA